AAGGCACTATTACCAATAAATAAGTTTTTTAAAGAATAAAAGAATGTTTAAAAAAAGAATGTATAAGTTGAGGGGAGAGCAAGAGGATGAATATGAAAAAAGAAAAGAAACTGTTAGCAGAAGTTTTCATTTTGTTTTAGGAAAGAGTCTTAAGATGGGCAGTGTGGCCCATGCTTTTAATCCTAGAACTGGGAAGGTAGAGGCAGGTGGATCTCTGAGTTTGAGGCCAACTTGGTCTACAGAGAGAGAGAGTTCTATAATGGCCCGGACTACACAGAGAAACCCTGTCTTGAAAGAACAAAAAGAAAGGGGAGGGGCTTACATAGCCCAGGCTAGCCTTGAACTCCCTATGTAGCTGAGGATGACCTGAACTTCTGATCTTCCTGTCTCTGCCTCCAGGTGCTGGAGTGACATTTGTGTACCACTCTTCTTGACTTCTGCAGGGCTAGGAATGGTGGATCCCAGGACTAGGTGAGCTCTCTACCAGCAGGGCCTCATCCTCAGTTCTTGTTCTTTTTTTTTTTTCTTTCTCTTTTTTATTCTTTTTTTAATTGTATTTTATATACATTGGTGTGAAGGTGTCAGATGCCCTGCAACTGGATCTTTAGACAGTTGTGAGCTGCCATGTGGGTGCTGGGAATTGAACCCAGGTCCTCTGGAAGAGCAGTCAGTGCTCTTAACCACTGAGCCATCTCTCTTGAGACAAGGTCTTATGCAATAACCCAGAGTGGCCTCAAACTCTCCTCTTTTTTTCTTGTTTCTCTTTTGTTTGTTCTTTGAGACAGAGTCTCACTGTGTAGCCCTGGATGGCCTCCAAGTCACAGAGATCCAACTGTCTCTGCCTCCTGAGAGCTGGAAGGGCCTCAAATCTTTCTCTACTCTTCCTCAGTTGCTTCGGTGCCCCACCTGGTCTCGTGTCTCCCGGTGAGCACCCATGGCTGCTACTTTTGTTTCACTTATTTTGTAAGCTTACTTTAGTTACATAGTAGTTTCATAATAACAGTTCTCCCGTCTCCTACCTCCAATTAAAAAAAAAAAAAAAAAAAAAAAAAAAAAAAAAAAACAAGGAGACAGCTGACTGTTCAATACTAATTCTTACAATTTCCCTTTCCAGAACTCCCAGAGATCTGCACTCTTCCCGCCAGGTTCCTGAATAGCACAATGGGAGCCCCCTAGTGGCAGAAAATAAAGTTAAGCCACATCCCCTCCCACTGTGAAGCCTGTGAGCCGCCACAATGAGCGGCGTGGCAACAGTGACGTACACTCTGGCGGATAAACAATGGCTACCTAATTGAACTCAAGGGCTGCTCAGCAGGAGGCAAAGCCTGCCTGGTACTGGTGTCGTAGCCAACTTCCCAAGGCTGGTGAGGTAAAGGAGAATCTACAACTGCCACTTTCCTGAAGCTGCATAATTCCTAATTGCATTCTAAAAACACCCACAGACAAGTGCTTCTCTTCCCAGCAGATGGAGACTATCAGAGAAAATCACAGACAAAATGCAGAGAACTGATCGCAGGTACCGCCTCCAGTGGATATCTACAACATAGCTTCTAGCCCTCAGGGAACACCGGGAAGAGAGAGCGGAAAGACTGTAAGAGCCGAAGGACCAGGACATGTGCTGTGAAGCGGTGTCTCCTAGAAAGTGATAGCTCCACAAGATGACTGTTGAAACGAGACATGGGCAGTGATAACACAAGCAGACATGTAACATGGAGGGAGGAAATCTCACAGGGTCCACCCCTCGACAAAGAACTGCGGGCAACTAAGGAACGCTGAGAGCAGAATTCGTTTTTTCCAAGGGACAAACCCCAGTTGATTGTCTAGTACTAAGTGATCAATCCTGAAACCCTATGACTGAGAAAGCCATATTTGTATATTTAAGTGTCTGTACCTTTTCCCTTGCTCAAGTCTAAAAAGCACTTTCTTGTTTCTTGCAGTACTGGGGAATCAAAACCCAGTGTGTGGGCTGGAGAGATGACTTAGCCGTTAGGAGCGTTTGTTGCTCTTGCGGGGTTGGTACCTACCCACATGGCAGCTCACAATGGCCTGTAACTCCAGCTGCAGGGGCTCTGATGTGCATTCTGAACACAGAGGGCACACATACTCACAAGGGCACACATAAACACACCCATAGACACATCATTAAAAAGCTTAACTTTAGACATACAAAACGTGTGCAGTCTAGTGGGTTTTAGTGTATTTATAGAGCTGTGACAGTGTGATGATCAACCTTGGGAATATTTCCTGGCTGGAGCTGTGGCTCTCACTTAAGAGTCAGAGGCAGGAGAACCAGGAATTCAAGGCCAACCTCATCTGCATAGCAAGTTCAAGGCCAGTCTGGACTATATAAGACCCTGACTCATATTAGAATATGACAAGAAGAAAAAGGAGAAGGAGGAGGAGGAGGAAGAGGAGGAGGAGGAGGAGGAGGAGGAGGAGGAGGAGAAGAAGAAGAAGAAGAAGAAGAAGAAGAAGAAGAAGAAGAAGAAGAAGAAGAAGAAGAAGAAGAAGAAGAAGAATTCAACCCAAGTCTTGGGTTCCATCCCCAACATATAACCCAGGGGTGGTGGTGTATACCTGTCATTCCAGCACCAGGAGGTAGAGGCAGAAGGACCAACAATTCAAGGTCATCCTTCAACACATAACAAGTTCAAAGCCAGCCTGAGCTACACGAGGTCTTGTCTTTAAAAATAAGTATGAGAGCCAGGTGGTGATGGCCCATGCCTTTAATCCCAGTACTTGGGAGGCAGAAGTAGACAGATCTCCATGAGTTTGTGGCCAGTCTGGTCTACAAAGAGAGTTCTAGGTTGGCCAGGGCCATTGCACAGAGAAACCCTGTCTTGGGGGAAAAAACAAACAACAACAACAAACAACTAATCCAAACAGAATAAGTATGAGAGCCAGGTGGTGATGGCCCATGCCTTTAATCCCAGTACTTGGGAGGCAGAAGTAGACAGATCTCCATGAGTTTGTGGCCAGTCTGGTCTACAAAGAGAGTTCTAGGTTGGCCAGGGCCATTGCACAGAGAAACCCTGTCTTGGGGGAAAAAACAAACAACAACAACAAACAACTAATCCAAACAGAATAAGTATGAGAGCCAGGTGGTGATGGCCCATGCCTTTAATCCCAGTACTTGGGAGGCAGAAGTAGACAGATCTCCATGAGTTTGTGGCCAGTCTGGTCTACAAAGAGAGTTCTAGGTTGGCCAGGGCCATTGCACAGAGAAACCCTGTCTTGGGGGAAAAAACAAACAACAACAACAAACAACTAATCCAAACAGAATAAGTATGAGAGCCAGGTGGTGATGGCCCATGCCTTTAATCCCAGTACTTGGGAGGCAGAAGTAGACAGATCTCCATGAGTTTGTGGCCAGTCTGGTCTACAAAGAGAGTTCTAGGTTGGCCAGGGCCATTGCACAGAGAAACCCTGTCTTGGGGGAAAAAACAAACAACAACAACAAACAACTAATCCAAACAGAATAAGTATGAGAGCCAGGTGGTGATGGCCCATGCCTTTAATCCCAGTACTTGGGAGGCAGAAGTAGACAGATCTCCATGAGTTTGTGGCCAGTCTGGTCTACAAAGAGAGTTCTAGGTTGGCCAGGGCCATTGCACAGAGAAACCCTGTCTTGGGGGAAAAAACAAACAACAACAACAAACAACTAATCCAAACAGAATAAGTATGAGAGCCAGGTGGTGATGGCCCATGCCTTTAATCCCAGTACTTGGGAGGCAGAAGTAGACAGATCTCCATGAGTTTGTGGCCAGTCTGGTCTACAAAGAGAGTTCTAGGTTGGCCAGGGCCATTGCACAGAGAAACCCTGTCTTGGGGGAAAAAACAAACAACAACAACAAACAACTAATCCAAACAGAATAAGTATGAGAGCCAGGTGGTGATGGCCCATGCCTTTAATCCCAGTACTTGGGAGGCAGAAGTAGACAGATCTCCATGAGTTTGTGGCCAGTCTGGTCTACAAAGAGAGTTCTAGGTTGGCCAGGGCCATTGCACAGAGAAACCCTGTCTTGGGGGAAAAAACAAACAACAACAACAAACAACTAATCCAAACAGAATAAGTATGAGAGCCAGGTGGTGATGGCCCATGCCTTTAATCCCAGTACTTGGGAGGCAGAAGTAGACAGATCTCCATGAGTTTGTGGCCAGTCTGGTCTACAAAGAGAGTTCTAGGTTGGCCAGGGCCATTGCACAGAGAAACCCTGTCTTGGGGGAAAAAACAAACAACAACAACAAACAACTAATCCAAACAGAATAAGTATGAGAGCCAGGTGTGGTGGCACACGTCTTTAATCCCAGCTCTCGGGAAGCAGAGGCAGGCAGATCTCTGAGTTCGACGTCAGCATGATCTACAGAGCGAGTTCCAGGACAGCCAAAGCTACATGGAAAAACCCTGTCCCATAAAAACAAAACAAAATAAGAATGGGGGGTATTCTTTAAATTGTCCCTCTGAGACTTGTCTTGTTACAATGAGATAATGAAGTGGCTGGTGGCATGACCCAGTGGGTAAATGCACTTTCCCAGCACCTGACACCCTGAGTTTATTACAAATAGTGGAAAGTGAGAACAAACTCCCCCAAAAAATCTTCCCTCTTTTTTTGGTCTCAAACTCATGGAGATCCTCCTGCCTCTACTTCCTGAGTTCTGGGATTAAAGGACTGGATCACCACTGCTTGGCCAAAAGTCTTGCTTTGACCTCCACACTTGTGTTCTTGAGTGTACGTATGTGAACATACACACACTAAATAAATACTAAATATAAATGACCCACACATCAGCCAACTGTGAATAATGAACATGCTTTAAGGGCTGGCAAGGACAGGTAAGTCTGAAGACAGTGGCCTTGGGGACTGAAGAGGTGACAATTGGTGACAGAGTTATTCAAATACATTGAGAACAAAGAGAGATTAGGGAATTAAAGCCCTGCTGGCGAAACTCCCAGAACTCAGGTGGTGAAGGCTGGAAGATTAAGAGTTCAAGACCATGGGTTTGTTGAAGGACATCAGCTGCGGAATTTGTGATTTGGGCGAAGATTGAAGTCATGGCTGGTCCTGAAAATGATGCCCAGTTCCAGTTCACTGGTATTAAAAAATATTTCAACTCTTATACTCTCACAGGTAGAATGAATTGTGTTCTGGCCAAATATGGAGGCATTGCTTTGTTGGTCCTATACTTCAAGTTAAGGCCTAAAAAAACTCCAGCTGTGAAAGCATAACTGGGTCTTTCAATGTCTGACCTCATCTGTTAAGTTCCATGCCTGAAGAAGCTGATGTCAACTCATCATGTGATACTCAATTTGTACAATAAATTATGAACCTGGAAAAAAAAAAGAGTTCAAGACCAGGACTGGAAAGATGACTCAGTGTTAAGAGCATTGGTTAATCTTCCAGAGGAACTGAATGTGATTCTGAGCACCCACATGGCAGCTCATAACCACCTGGAGCTCCGGTTCCAGGGAATCTGATGCCCTCTCCTGGTCCCCGAAAGCACCAGGCATGCCTGTTGTGCACAGAGATACATGCAGACAAAACACCCATCAACATAAAATAAAATTTAACATACATAAAGTACAAAGAAAGGATGTCAATGGTATTGGAATAGCAAGAGAAAGGAGCCAAAAATGGTTAGGATGGAGGCATTACCACGTGGCATAGCTTCGAATATTCGTTTTTCAAAAAATAATAATTTGTATGCCTGCATGTAAGTTTGTGCACCGTGTGCATGCAGAAGCCAGCAGAGGCCAGAAGAGCATATCTGATCCCCTGAAACTGAAGTTAAAGACAATTATTGGCTAGTGTGTGCTGGGAATTGAACCCAGATTCTCTACAAGAACAACAAGACTCTTAACCACTGAGCCAGCTCCCCAGTCTCTGAATTTTCATTTTAATCTGCTTCCTTATCCTTGAAACAAAGGGATCTGGAGGGTGCAGACACATTGGGGGTTCAGCAGCGGGGGGGGGGGGGGGGGGGGGGGGGGGGGGGGGGGGGGGGGAAGGGGGTTAGTAGCACTTCAGACAGTACTCTTGCTGTCCATGGTGCTAATAAGCCAGCCAGGTTGTTGTTTTGCGGGTGAGGGGTGGTTCAACACACACGACTCAGGGATCCTACCCTAACTATATCCTGAGAGGATTGTAGGCAGGGACGGAACAGAGCATTCGCTCAGCAGCATTATTTACAGCAGACAAAAAGTAGAAGTCACCTAAACGTCCTCCAGTGGGTGACGGATGAATAAGATGTGGCCCAGTTCTATGATGGAATATCACTCGGCTCTAAAAATGAAGGAAAAGTGAAACACCTTCCATTCCAAACAGACTCAAAACATGAGGACTGGTGAATAAGCCAGACATGAAGAGACCACCCAGGAGGATCCTACCCTAGGAGCTGTCAGACCTACAGACAGAAAATAATACAGTGCTGGGTACCAGGGGTCTGAAAAGGACATGGGAAGTTAGGGATTAATGGGAACAGAGATTCAGCTTGGAAAGATGAGATTTTGGAGATGGACAGTGGAGATGGTTGCACAATTCAAATGTAATAAACGTCGCTAAACTTTACATTTCAAAAATGGTTAAGAGGTGGAGGAATGGCTCAGCAGTTTAAAAACACTTGCTGCTTGTGCTGGCTTGTTTTCATCAACCTAGGCACACCTGGAAAAAGGGATTCAACTGAGGAACTGCCTCCATCACGGGCTTGTGGGAAAGTCTATAGGGCATTCTCTTGGCTGGAATTGATGTGGGAAGGCCTAGTCCAGCCACGCCTCGCTTAGGCAGGTGGGCCTGGGTGGTATAAAAGCAAACTGAGCAAGCCATGAAGAGCAGGCCTGTATAGCAGTGTTCCCCCAAGGCCTCTGCTTCAGTTCCCACCTCGAGCTCCTGCCCTTGCCTCCCTAGTGACAGATGTGATGTGTGAAAGAAAGCCTTTCTTTCCCAAGCTGCACAGCCATGGTGTTTATCACAGCCACAGAAATCCAGCGAGCACACTGTTCCGCAGAGGACCCGAGTTCAGTTCCCAGCACCCACATGGCTCCGTTTACAACTGCCTGTAGCAGCTCAGTGGGAGGATCTGATGCCCTTTGTTGGTCTCCATGGGCACCTGAATGCTTGTGCGCACACTCCCACACAGACATAGGCACATAAGTAAGAATACAAATGCATCTCTTTGGAAAAGATTAGGATAGGGGCCAGCAGAACGACTCAGCAAGTGATGGCGCCTGCAACCAAGCCTGATAGTCTGAGTTCGATCCCCAGGTCCCACAGGTGAAAGGAAGAACTAACTCCTAAAGCACAAATCATGTGCCCTCACCATAATAAATAAAAATGTAATAAATTAAAAATTTTTTTTACTGGTTTTATTTAGCTATACGTTTTTCTCCACTCCCCTCTTTCCCTCCCCCTCCCCTTCTACCGTCTCTTGTGACCCCCACACTCCTAATTTAGTCAGGAGATCTTCTCTCTTTCTGCCCTCTGCAGAACCACATGTGTATCTCTTAGGGTCTCTTGTGTTGTCTAGGTTCTCTGGAATTGTGAACTGTAGGCTGGTTTTTCTTTGCTTTATGTCTAAAAGCCACTTATGAGTGAGTACATATTATATTTGTCTTTCTGGGTCTGGGTTACCTCACTCAATATGTTTTCTACACTCATCATTTGCCCACAAATTTCAAGATATACTTTTTTTTTTTTGCCATTGTGTAGTAGTACTCCATTGTGTAAATGTACCACAAAAAAATGTAATAAAGGGGGCTGGAGAGATGGCTCAGAGGTTAAGAGCACTGCCTGCTCTTCCAAAGGTCCTGAGTTCAATTCCCAACAACCACATGGTGGCTCACAACCATCTGTAATGAGGTCTGGTGCCCTCTTCTGGCCTGCAGGCAGACACACAGACAGAATATTGTATACATGATAAATAAATATTTTTAAAAAAATATAATAAATTTTTCAAAGAAATGATTAAGATGGTTCATTTTAGGGCTGGAGAGATGATGGCTCAGCAGGTTAGGAGCATTGCTGAGTTAGCCTATGACTTGAATCCAAATCCCCAGAAATCATGGAAGTGAGGAATGGGCAATAGAACATTTGTAACCCCAGTGCTATGGAAGATGGGGACCAGAGAACGGTTGGGGCTTACTGGTCACCAGCCTAGCTCCAGGTTCCATGACAGACTCTGTCTCAAGGGAATGAGGTAGAGAGTAATAAAGTAGGACACCGTATGTCCTCCTCTGGCCTCTGCATGTGCACAAGTGCCATGTGCACATACACAGACAGACAGACAGACAAACAAAGATACACACACACACACACACACACACACACACACAGGTTCATTTGATGCACTGTTTATTTTCCAAGGTCTCTTTCACGAGGCCCTAAAGAAGCTTCTCAGAGTTTCCACTCTCCCACCTGGTCCAGCCTATGCTAAGGTCCTGGGATCTAGGCCCAGGCTGTGGCCCCATACAAGTATATCCAATGATGCACGTGCCATAGCCAAGTCACTATTGTGATTTCAGTGTGAAATGTCCCCCATGCCCATTTGAATTACTTGATCTCCAGTGGTTGGAGCTGTTTAGCAAGACTGTGGAAGCTTTAGGAGGAAGCGAGCCCCAGGAGTGGACCTTGAGATTTTGTACCTCAATCCTATTTTCTGCCCCCTTTCTACTTCTTGTCTGTAGATACAATGTGACCAGCCAGCCACCATGCTTCCTATACCATGATGGACTATACTCTCTGAAATGTAAATCGCCCCCAATCCCTCCCTCCCTCCCTCCCTCCCTCCCTCCCTCCCTCCCTCCCTCCCTCCCGTGGCTTCTTGTCAGGTATATCATTACAACAGCAACGGGAACAACTAAGACCTCTAAGATCTACAGTCACTTTCCATGGTTACCTGTTAGAGGTTAGGTTGCGGACTCTTCTTGCCCCCAAGTCAGTCTGGTTCAATGGCCTAAGCTGGAACAGTAAGCAAGAATCTGAGACAAATCTCAAGGTCCAGGGGGACAGGTTCATTTTGGGAAACCATTTCTGAGCACACAGTAGGAACAATGCTTAGAAGTCACATTTAAAAAATAATTTTATTTTCATTGCTGGGGATAGAACTCAGGGTCTTGCATATGCTCATCACAGGGCAATGCCCTCGGACCCTCACTGGGGGCAGGGTGGTTCTAGGCAGGCTCTGTACTGTTCTGTGGACCTACCCTTTTTACTTTTTATGGCAATATAAGGTTTCAGTAAGTTGCCTAGTCTGACCTTGAACTCCCTCTGAAGTCCAGGCTGCTCTTGAACTTGTGACCTGAATCGGCCTACTGAGAATCTTGGGATGACAGTCTTCCACCACCAAGCTGGGCTGAGATTTTCAGAAAGCCCTGTCTATGCCCACGTCTTGAGCAGAGGTGGTGATCCATCCTGTAGGGCTCAGTTTGTAGTGTATACTGTCACACAGAGCCCCTGCACACAGTAGGACTAACCGAGGTGCATAGGCCGTAGGAACTTTTTTTTTACTTTGTATAAGTGTGTGTATGAGAGGCTGTATGTATGCAAGAGTGCAGAAACAGTAGGTCAGAAAAGGCCACCAGATCTCCATGAGAGGCTGTATGTACGCAAGAGTGCAGAAACAGTAGGTCAGAAAAGGCCACCAGATCTCCAGAAGCTGGAGCTACAGCCAGCTGTGAGCCACTTGGGACGGGTGCTAGGAGTCCAACTCAGCTCCTCCGCAAGAGCAGGCTACTTTGTACCCCTTCTTTAGTGGCTGTGGGAATTCAATAGGGAAACTAAGGGATACCTGAGACACCCTGGGAGCAACTACAAGCCAGGCAAGAAGGGACTGTCTTGTCTGGCACCAGCATGCGGTGGACCCACATGCGAGTTGCCACTGCAGTGGGAGAAGTTACAGGCGCTTTCAGATTCCACCCTGCATGCTGAACAATGTGGTGAGGAGCCCCTGAAACCCAAATAAAGGCCCCGGCTGCTTCCAAAGGGGTAATAGTTTATTGGGGGTTAGGAACAATAGTTGGTCAAAGGTCATCAGTGCAGTTCTGCCCTCCCTTCCGGGATGGCAAGTCAGTCCAGTGTGTGGGCCTTGGAGCCAAGGGGGAAGGGCCCAGGGAGTGTCACAGTATAGCAGCAGGAATAGGGGTGTGAGCTCCCCCTCAGGCCCACCCTCATCCTGGTCCAGAAACAGGGGTCCCCTGTCAAGGTCCTCAGGCATCTGCTACCGAGCTGGGGGTCTCCTGAGGCAGGAAGCGTCGCTGCCGGAGCATGGACTTCTCCTCCTCCTGTAGAGACAGGCAACACGTGTTATCCAGACAGGGTGAATGCCACCCACTTTGTGGCATCTACAT